AGGCGCCTTGAGCCCTCAACCCTAAACCCCTAAACCCTAGATTAACCTGAAGCCCTAAACCCTAAACCCTAAACCCTAAACCCTAAACCCTAAACCCTTAACCCTAAACCCTAAACCCCAAACCCCAGGAGGCCCAGGTGCCCGGGCCCAGCGGCGTCTGGTGGCCGTGGCGGTGGGCGCGTGGACTTCGGAACCTGGCGGGGTACTGCCGCTGGGGTTTAGGGGTTTAGGGCTTTANNTTTAGGGCTTTAGGGGTTTAATTTAGGGGTTTGGGTTTAGGGGTTAGGGTTTAGGGGTTACTTGGAGGTTCATGGGTAGTTATAAGTGGGGTTATAAGTAAGGTAACTGTAATTATAACCCATATTAGGGGACTTATAACCCCATTTAAAACTACCCATGAACCTCCAAGTAGGGTTTAGGGTTTAGAGTTTCAGGTTTAGGGTCTAGTTCAGTATTTAGATGGGCTTAGGTCGTGGGGTTTGGTTGTTCGGAGTCTTGAGAGTACGGGTTTAATGTTGAGGGCGGGAAGCCCAAAATAGCCAGAACCTGGAGCCAAGATCCTGAATCGAAGCTCTTCATGATTAGAATAGGGCTTATGGTGCTATTGTAGTATGGTTGCGATAAGGAGCCCTAAGCATAGTTATAGTAAGGAGCATTGCTAGTTGCTTGCTTAATGGCGATTAGCATCTTCAATTGTCGCTACCTGATTTAGAACTCTGGTGACGAAGTCCGATGAGCCACAATTTAACGCACTTGTAACCTTACTTACTAAGTTCCATGATCCTCCACCCTTAAAAAATCCCTCATAGACTTTCCTTGTAACTGTAAGGAACCCTTTAAGAAACCCTCTAGGGAACCCTAAACCGCCCAGTTGCTTTAGATTCCATAGCGTGCAGTTGGGTAGTTCTCTAAATTCGGGTCCCTTCTTCAAGTCCCCAATGTAGTACGGCACCCTTATCAAAAGGACCCTAAAAGCGACCCTAGTTTAGAGAACTACCTGATTGCAAGCCTTGGCTTTAGCACCACAGGTGCTTTCAGTTTAGGGTTTAGGGTTCAGGGTTTAGGGCTGAAGACATGGATAGCCTGAGACTTAACTCAAGGAAACTACAGGTGGGGAGTTTAGGGTATACAGGGCTTTTATAAGGCTTCCATAAGGTATACAGACCTTCTATAAGGCTCCTATAACGGTAACTACCCACCTGAAAATGCCCTAGACATGGATAGCCAGAGACTTAAAGAGCCCAAGCCCTCTCCAAACCTCATCCTGCCCTAAACCCTGAACCTAAAACCCCTCAAAGCCTTTAACCCCTGAACTCCCTCGAAACCCCAACTCCCTAAAACCCTAAACAAACTCAAAATCCCAAAACCGAATAAGAACCCTCGTAGACCCCTGAAAGGAACGCCAAGACGGAAAGCCTAAACCCCAACATGGCCAGGGGTACGGGTCGCTTCTTGTTGCTCGGCCGCGAATGCAAAGGCAACTCCCAGGCCTCGGTTGGCAAGAGAAACTGACGACTTGCACCTCCTAAAAACCATACAGTTTACTTGGAGGTACATGGGTAGTTATAAGTGGACTTCGAAGTAAGCTAACTATAATATTAACCCATACTAGGGGACTTATATCCCTACTTATAACTACCCATGAACCTCCGAGTATTGTTTAGGCAGGGTTTAGCGTCCAGTATCCTCGGGGATTTGCAGGTTAACCGTTGGGATTATATAGGGATTAGAATACACCAAAAACGATAAAGGCTTCCTACTCTACTACTAGGCTAGCACACGCAATGTAGGAGCCTTCAGAATTTCGGTTTTGGTGCATTTGATACTTCTGTTATATAGTTATGGCAAGGCACCCTGAGGGATACTGTTGATAATTGCTAAACCCCCAAGACTTTGCGCAGGCTCAGCTCACAACTCAACAATCGAGGCTGCTATGAGCACTGCCCGAAGCGTCCATGTGCCCATACGTGATAGTGATATTGCATACCTTGGCGTTTAAGGGGCTCCTGTTTAGGTACTTCAAAGCCGAAGTTTTACTTTGTAGGTACATTGGCCCTTAGATACCCTAAACATCCCCAAAACCCTTATGGTACCCTTATAGAGCTCTTAAAGGAACCGCTTTACCCTAAATATCCCCAAACCCTTATGGTACCCCTTATAGAGCTCTCAAAGGAACCCCTTTCCCCTAAATATCTCCAAACCGTTATGGTACCCTTATAGAGCTCTTAAAAGACACCCTTGAATCTAAAGGAGCCCTAAAAACCGGTACAGAGACCATCCGGGCTGAGATAGCATCTGGGTAGTTCTCTAAAGTGGGGTCGCTTTTTAGGTCCCCAAAATAGTAAAGGACAGTAAATCTAGGACATTTTCAGGTGGGTAGTATAGGAGCCTTATAGAAGGTCTATATACCTTATAGAAGCCCAAAAGAAGCCCTATATACCCTAAACTCCGCAACTGTAGTTTCCTTTAACTAAAAGGGACCCTATTTTAGAGAACCACCCTCTAACCTTGATCCCCTGCTTCTGCTATGACTCCTTCCGCGAAAGCTGGGCTACCACGAAATGCGATGAAGGGCTTAGGTTCAGGGTTACGAGCTCGGGATAACCCTAAGCAAACCCTAAACCCTAAACCCCTAAACCCTAAATCCGAAACCCTAAACCCCTAAACCCTAAATCCTAAACCCTAATAGCCTAAACCCTACAACCCTAAACCCCAAGCCCTGTTGGTGTTTGGGTCTTCTTTCCGAAGGCTCCCCTAATATAGGGGCCTTAATAATTAGAATAAGGGTTTGGGGGTATATTATACTATAACTATATTAAGGAACTCCCAAAAATAGTACATGTAATTATTTAGGCCCCTATAATTGCCTTTAATATTACTCTGACTCCTGATGAAACCTAACCCGACGCTGGAACTCCTCGCCATGGGGCTACTGGTTAGATCCTTCAGCAGGCTTCAACAAGGAATTAAGGCAAAGGGTTTAGGGTTCCGACAAACAGTACACCAAATCCTGAACCCTGAACCCCTAAAACCCTAAACCCTAAACCTAATTTAGAGAACTACCCATATAGAAAGCCTACATTCTACGTCTTAGGTACTCTGGACCCTCTGGGTTTGCTGGCAGGAAAGGTACCATCAGAGCCCTCGTCGTGGGGCTCAAACCCCAAACCCTAAACCCTCAACCGTAGGTTTCGGGTTTCGGGATGTATGGGGCTTAGGTTCCGGACCCAGAAAGCCTAAGATCCCTTGGTTCAAAGCCTAAACTCTAAGCCCTAAAATTGCAGGGACCTTATTTTGCGGGCTTAAGGCATGTTTTCGTCAACTAGGGGGTATTGGGCTTTGTGGGAGGTGAGGAGTCCTAGCCCCCACTGGGGTTTAGGGCTTTAAGGGTTTGGGGTTTGAGGGCTTGAGGGGTTTAGGGTTTAGGGTTTTAGGATTTAGGGTTTGGGGTGTGAGGGTTTGGGGTTTAGGGTTTTCTAGACAGTATGGACAGTCAACTAACAGGCTCTTACGATCCTCACATGCTATGTCCCAGCAGTGCAAGGTCAAGAGGGCTTCTGACTCGTTTGTGGTTGAAGGAAGGAACATGGCACAGTCAAGGGTGATACGGTTTCTAATATAAATCCTGCATTACGCATAATAAGGAAAACCTCATAATTCCCATAATTTAGGGTCCTTAAGGTAATGCAGGACTTATATCATCAACAGTATGGGTTGCTGGCACAGACATCTCTTGAAACTTGAAGTTCTGGTAAAGATGCCGTCGCTCAAAAGCCATGGCTGCTAGCACAAGTCGTCACGCGAGTAGAGCCGCAATTTCAACATGCGACACTGCAACAAGACGCATCCTACATATTCCCAGGGCTTAAACGTACCTACAAAGTAAACCCCAAACCCCGAAAACCTGAAAGCCCAGACTCCTCAGACCCTAAACTCCCAAAAGTCCTAAAGCACAAAACCCTGGAACCTAAAAAACTCCTCAGCCCTAACGCGCTCAACCACTTGGCCCTAAACCCTCACTTCTTCTCTCTCAGGCAGCTGCGATCAATGCCTCGCTGACTTGCAGTGCCTGCAGTGAGTGACTGCCGGCTTCGGCATCAACCCTTGCATAGCTTAGGGTTTAGGGCTTCAGGGTTAGGGAGGGGCTAAGGGGTTTAGGCTTTAGGGCTTTCGTCTTTTGGGTGCCGGGTTGAGGTTTAGCAGCTCCATGTGGTGTCGTAGTTGCTCTATCAGGTTTGAGTGATTTCAGGTTGGGGGTTCGCTTTTCAGGGTTCGGGTTTAGCAAGCCTTAGCTCAAGCTTCACGCCCTAGCGCTGCGCAAGGTCAGGTCATTCGTCAAAGGGCACCGCGTTTACCAGCGTGTAGGTTCAACACTGAAGATAGGGTATTCATGATTAGGATGGGGTCTTGCGGGGACAGTGTAGTATACTGTATACTTATACCCATCATAATAAGGAGCCCCATAAGGAATAAACATGGCATTTATTCACACCCCTGCATTACTCGGAATACATTACGCAGCAGCTTTCACACGCAGACATCACTGTAAACAACAGTTTTGTTTAGCAGGACTTTGTCAACACAGGTCTTTTTGTATGCCAGCTGCCAGATAAACTCGACACTTTGCGTGAAGCCCTCCACCCCAAGCTTGGAAGTTAGTGGCTCAGGCTAGTTACCGGTCGAGACGCCGGGTTTAGTTTTTTTTTGTTGTTGAGCGCCTCTTTTCCGACCTGCAACCGAAGATCCTTTACAGGAATAGGTTTAGGGTTTAGGATTTAGGGGCCCGACAGCAAGCGCACGCACTTAAGCTTTCTTGTTGAATAAGCGGCCCCATGTCCTGCCCCCTGTGCACAAACATGTTGCGCCCCCAACCTAGGAAGCTCATTCGACTGCTCCTAAGCCCTACATGCCACACTGACGACGGAAGACCGTTAGATCTAAGATAGGGCCTCTTCAACTCGTAGTTTAGACCGTTTTTTAGGCCTCTTAGATCTAAACCCATGACTGTCTGGGTCTTCCAGCTGCTGCAGCACTATAATCTTCGCGGCCACATCGCAGGCAAGACATCAGCTGCCTCGGCCAGGAATGCCGGTTTAGGCTTTAGGGTTGTAGGGGTTTTGGGAGTTGGGCTTTGGGTTTAACTCCATGTGAGAAAACTACAAGCTTAAGGATTTGCTACCTCATGATGTGGCAATGGGAACTCTGAACCCCTTTGAGGTGACTTGCGGACGCGGCTCTAGATTCGTTAACCCTAACGCTCTAAGGACTCATATTTTAAGGCTTTTGGGCCCAAATGCCATGCTATGTAGGGCTTTTGGGCTATTTGAGCCTTAGGGTAATGGCCCTGATATGTCTTCACGACGAGGAACCCTTGGCCCTGCCGTGTCATGTCATCTAGAATCTAGGCGAACGGTACGTCCCAGCCACACGCCCAACCCTAAACCTTATTCCGTAAACCCTATAAGCCCTAAACGCCCTAAACCATAAACCTTATTCCGTAAACCCTACACCCTAAACCCCCTAAACCCTAAACCCTATAAACCCTAAACCCTAAACCCCCTAAACCCTAAACCCCCTATAAACCCTAAACCCTAAACCCTAATTGGGCAAGGCCCAGACGAGGGATCCCACTAGTGCCCTATAGCTTAAAGCTCAAACGCTTGAGCCCGAAGCCTAAACCCTAGTTCATGGGTAGTTATAAGTAGGGTTATACGTCCCCTAATATGGGTTATAACTATAGTTACCCTATTTATAACCCACTTATAATTACCCATGAACCTCCAAGTACATCCGTTTAGTCATAACCCTATAAGGCCCAAACCCTAAACCCGAAACCATAAACCCCAGAACCCTAAACCTCAAACCCCAGACCCGGAACTCTCACCCTTTCAACGCCGAAAGCCCAAACCCTAAACCCCAAACCCGACGAAGCCCTACGACCGTGCGCTCCAAACACCGGAACTTGATGCAGGGCTTTTAGGGTTTACGGTTAAGGGGCAGTTTATGCTTCGTGGGAACACAGAGATTTCCAAACCCTTCAATGCAGGACAGTTCCGAAAGGCATTAGGGACAGTGGCGGAGTCTGAAGGTTTGGGATTTAGGGTTCAGGGTTTAGTGGGCTTTCGGGGTGGAAATGTCTCGCACCGAGGATTGCAGGCTATCCCGGATTTTGGCACTGGCGTTTGGCAGGTGGTCGGTCGTTATGTATTGAAAAATAGTAATCGATGTCAGGTCTCTGATGCCGGTGCCCAGAACTGCCAAGTAACACCAAACGCTCTGATGGCACACTTCTCCGGTTACAAGGACACCAAATTCATTGACTACTACTGAGAGAGAAACCACCCAACACCCCAAGTGGGCAAACAGTGGCCAAAGCTCGAGAGATCCAGCAGCTAGTGGCCACCACGACTTAAAGTTCAAGGTTCGGGGTTCAGCAGTAAACCCTAAACCCTAAACCCTAAGGGGCAAGCTGCTTCTCCTGGCTAGTTGGCCAGACAACGACTTGCTTCATTGCTCTGGCACTCCAACTCTCCGACCGACCAAACATTTAATTCGAGAAAAGGCTTCCGTGTACCCTAAACCCTAAACCCTGAACCCTAAACCCTAAACCAAAGGGGCTCTCTGGCTCTCTCTCTCTCTCTCCCCCTCTCTCTCTCTATATATGAATATGATATTGGTTACAGGATGTAGGGAAAAAAGAGACCCCCGATTACTAAACCCCGTTTCACTAAGGTTCAGGTTATGGTGATAATTGAGCTCCTAGCCCTAAATCTTTTCACCGGGGGTCCACATTCTCCTACTTTGGACAGAGTGTTTTGGGGTTTCGGCATTCAATCAGACTACGGTCAGCATTAGGCTTTAGAGTTTTCGGAACATAAAACACGTGTATATAAATCCTGAAAACAATCGTTTTTGAATTGACTAATTAACAGGAGCAAGCTACCGAACAAACGAGCGAGTAACACGCGACAACCAAACTAACCGATTGCACAAAATCCTAAATCCCAAACTCCCTTTAACCCAACAGCTAAAATCCTAAACTCAAACACCCTTAAAGGAGCCCCTATAAATCCCTGAAAGGAAACCCCCAAAGACTTCCTTAAGGCCGAACCGATATGAGCCTCAGAGAAAGAGGCGCTACGCCAAGAGCAATGAAAGGCAAGGCGTAGGTGCTTGGAGGATCATGCGACTTAGCAACTTCACGGGGTTTCCCGATTCCTAAACCCCAGGGCGTCCTAAACCCTAGGGCTTCCCGATTCCTAAACTTCACGGGTTCCTTAAAGGGTCCTTGAAAGGGAACCTGGGCTTTGAAGCAGCCAGGGAGAAAAAAGTATAGACTTTGATTTCCTTTGAGGAACAGGTCCCCCCCAAAACAGTATTAAAGTATGGTACTCCAAAGCCCAGGAGTTTTAGAGGCATAGGTGCTTGGAGCATCTTTGGACTTTGTAACCTGGTTGGGGTTTAAGGGTTTAGGGCTCTAAGGTTTCAGGGTTTCGGCCTACAGAAAAGGTTCATGGGCAGTTCATGCGACTGAATATCCTCAAGCGTTCCTGCAAGGGTTCCCCAAAGGGATCTAAAAGGCTTTATAGGTGCTTGGAGGATCAAGGGACATGGTAAGCAAGGCTTTCTATCTTGTTTAGGGTCATGGGACCTAGTAGCTTATAAATACCATAATTGCGGCTACATTAGCTACCTTATCTATACATTGCGTTTACATTAGCTACCTTATCTACAATCCTAGTTGCCAAATCCCATGATCCTGTAGGAATCTGAGCCCATTTCTAGGGCTCCACAAACTGGTGTCCTTCGAGGACCTTGGCAGCTATTTTACACACAAACTCTCTCCCTTGCTTGTCCAGTTTCCTAGGGGAACGTAGAGGTTCACCATTGGGGTATATAGGGGCTACAATATCCCCAAAAGGTTAAAGGCTAACTACGCTACTACTAGGCTCCCTCTATGTGTCAACCCTAAACCCTAAACCCTAAACCCTATGTGTACGCGTTTATGTACATCTCGCGTGCAGGGATGGCTTTTGCGAATCTTTCGTACATACCAAGCACATGTGACACTTGATAAAATAATCTCAGAGAGCTCGAAAAGAACTATGTGGCCAAAAACTCAGGGTCCTAGGTTAGCCTCGATCTGCAGAAGTACGTGCTTGTAACCCCGAAAGCCTGAACCCTAAGCGCTGTTTACGGTTTAGGGTTTAGCGCTTAAGGTAGCCACCAAAAGAGTCGAAAGACAGGTTCCTCCGTGCCCTTGCACCGCCAGGGGCTCTACCGGCTGAAATGCGAGTTTAGTATCACGGCCTTGATGAATTGAATGGGGTTTTGGGGTATATTACTGCATCAGTATACTTGAAGGGAGCCCCAACAAATAATATTCGTCATGATTCCCCTAAACCCTAAACCGTAAGATTCTATACTGCGATGTGAGGGACGGCTTGCTCAAGGTTCGGAGTAGGCTTTTGGGCTTCAGGGTTTAGGGTTTCGGGGTTTAGGGTTCAGGGCTTTGGATGCAGGTGCCGCTTTCTCTCTAACATGAAGCGCTCCAGGAGATTCGTTGAGTCTTCATCATCTTAGGATCTAGGACGGCTCTTCAACATTGTGAGTCGACTTCTGTTATTGCGCAGGGGAAGCGAGGACGATGAGTTTCACATACTTCTAAGCCAGAGCCCCAGGCCTGCAGAAAAGAGGCCGGACTTCGAAAACTCATGCGTACTGTTCAAATGATGTGCGTTCGAAAAACTCCGTCAGCATCTCAGTGCAGTCCAGCCAGGAAGCATGGATCGGGGCTAGGTTTGCAAACCCTTCAACCTTACTCTCAGAACGAAACCAGACTCTCTCATCTGCAGTGGGAATCTGCATGCTTTGGTCCCTAAGTTCCCTAAACCCTAAACCTTAAACCCTAAACCCCTAAACCCTAAACCCTAAAAGGAAGGAACAACACGCCTGTCAGATTCGGTTTAGGGTTTAGGGTTTAGGGTCACGAACCCTAAAACCTAGTCTAAACCCTCGGCTCTTAGCCCAAAACGCCCCAAAACCCTACGCATCCCTACACCCCCCAAACCCCCACACCGCAGCACCAAACAGAGCCAAGGGCGATGCTGGACACTGGAAGCATCGGGATTGCAAGCGAGAGCTGGCTAAGAGCACAGGACTCCAAAGGCTCACGATGCTCTTCTATGTATACATGCTTATGTGTGTATCTATATATGTACATGTACATGCATATGTATATGTATATGTATGTATGTATACACCTATATATGCGTTTATGTAAACTTGGGGTTTACAAGGTTTCTGGCTTAGGTATATAGATGTTTGTAACCATAACGCATTAAATCAGCTTTAATGCTACGCCCATGCTGTCCTTCTTGAGTCATACTAGTCGTCCATTGCAGGGGCGTCGAGGGGGGATCCTGATATTGAGAGTCTGCGGTTTTATGGTTTAGAGCCCCCTGGGCTCAGGAGCACGGCCAAGCGCCATCCCTGCGTGCTCTTAGGTGATGCGGCTGGTGTCGCGTCCAAAAACCTCGCCCCGGAGCCAATCCAGTCCGACGAGAGCGCGGTTCTTCCAGCCTGACATCTGGTGTTTAGGGTTTTAAGGGTTTACGGCTGTAGCTGCAGGGTTTAGGATGCACAGGTAAGCAAGTCTAAGTCGATGGTCAATGTGTTGGAGAAAATATGAACGGCAAGAAGATTAATTTGCAGCTGGTGATGGTGATGGTAACGAAAGTGCTGCGTTTGTTGATGATGGTAACATGCGATGCTGCTGCTGCTGCTCATGATGATGATGGTAATGATGATGACTGTGATGATGATGATGATAATGACGATGACGATGGTCATGGTGATGGTCATGATGATGAAGATGACAATCATCATCATTGTCATCTTCATCATCATCACCATGGAGGCGATGCTGACGTTTCCAATGAGCCGAGACAAACGAACTTTATCCATGCATCGTGTTGAACTTCACATTCGCAGTTGCGTTCGGGGCCTCTGTATAGGGCCTCTAAACCCTAAACCCTAAATGGACAACCTCAAGGTGGAGCCGAAGACAGCAGC